AGAAGCGCATGCGACAAAAAGTGGTAGAAAACGAGTAATACGATCGATATGATACAGTCATATCATTTGTTCGCTTTAAAAACTGGTGGAGAAAGGTTTGGCACCGCGCCAAACGCAGCCGCACTGACACGCCCAACCGTCCGCAGAGAACTACACTATATGGGGAGTAGTAGAGTAGCAGACTGCTGGAATAGGCGTCGTAAATTGCGGTGTCTGCAACTGCACCGAACAAATGCGCTACACCGTACATTAAGACTGTATGGTTCTGTATTTAAGCAATTGTACGGTGCGGTTGCGCAACGTGACGCCCAATCCAAGCTACTAGCTACCTGCTACTCTCCCCTTTACCCATACTATCCGGAACGCTGGCAAACACTGGCCTACACTAGATCAGTACCTATACTTACTTGATCGCTCAAACGCTGCTAAACCCATGCATACGCTAGGTCGCATACTACACTTTCCTAGGCGCTGGCGTACACTCGAAACGCTAAAAACGCTGGCGTTGGCTGACAGCAGAGTATGAACGCGGCTTAGCAGCTAGTACTAGTGGACTTATGGCTCACCGATCCTTTCCTTTTTGGCGATGTGGTTTGACCCTGAAACACTTGAGATTACTGAGATGCGTCACACGCACTCATTGGAAGAAAAGGTGTTCAAAAGGAAAGTTGGACCTTGTCATGAATCATTTCCTTTTGGACGCTGGGCAATACACACTGGCTGGTGGTGTAACGGGAAATCCAATGAGAACCTATGGTCAGGGCACAAGCGCTCGTGAAAATTTTCCTCCACGGATGCTCCCGAAATTGGTTTGCGGGAAAACAGGCATCGAAATATCAGAATCATTTGGAATGCGACAGCGTCCCACGAGGAGGTGGGAGAATTACCCACAAAATTCTGCAAGACGACAAGGTCTCCTTCCTAGGGTTGAGGAATGCTAACGTACAGCTTTCCCTGTCTACGAAAGCTCTTTTGTACGAATCAATCTCTGGCAGCTATAATAAAGAGGTAGAGAACAGCTGATTCTCACAGCTCGATTGCTTTGACAACGTCTTCCTGTCGAAGCTATTCGATGGGCAGAAGCAATAGCAGTAGCAGAAGGTGCAACCGAAGGATTGGCAATTTCAGCTGATTTTGGCAATAACCTGAAAATTTAGTCGTAGTGTCTGGATCCCTATAGGACTGCGTTCGTACTTTGGGGCAGCGTCCACCAGCGTTCCAAGGGTCAGCGACTAGGAAAGTATAGGTATCGATCCAGCGTCTGCAGCGTCTATCAGCGTGCGCCAGCGCCTAGCAAAATCCGCAGCGTCCCGACGGCTAAGGAAGTATAGTATTGATCTGGTGGTGGCAGACAGCTGGTAGAGTGTAGGAAGATAGGAGGGTGACAGACTGCTGGTAAAAAGTATGTCGTGGTTCGAAGGTACCATGTCCACTACCCTCGCATCGCGCGATACTTTCTCTCCCTGACGCTGGTGCACGCTGATGCACCCTGGCAGACGATGGCAGGCCTTAGATCGATACCTATACTTCTATAGTCGCTGACGCTACCAAACGCTTCAAACGTTGCTGGACGCTATTAGGGCGTGGCAAAAATAATGACCGTTTTGAAGCAAATATTTCAAAATATCATAACTCGCTTCAAAGTGTTGCTTTTCAATCGAAATAACGACCAAAAGAATCAACACATTTCTGCCAACGAGAAGGCAATTTAGATATTCGTTGGAATCGTTGAATGCCTTTTCTACGTCGTCTTGGTTTCGGAAGCATTTCTCGCGTAAGAAAATTTCGAGATGCTTGAAAAAGTGATAATCCGTAGGGGAAAGGTCTGGTGAGTATGGAGGATGGTCGAGAGTTTCATATCCCAACTCCATCAGTTTTTTTGTTGTCATCAATGAAACATGCGTCGGGCGTTGTCATGGAGTAGGATCGCGCCCTTTCTGTTGATTAATGCCGGCTGAATCCGATGCAATTTTTGGTGCATTGTTTCGATTTCCTCTCCGCTGTGATGGTTTCTCCTGGAGCCAGTGAGCTGTGTCACAGTCACCATGACCTTTTTTTGGTGCAACTCCGGCTTTGGAAAATGTTTAGGAGCTTCGTCGTGATCCAACCACTGTCCTTGACCGTCGTCTATTGTCGTATTGAATCCATTTTTCGTCACACGTCACAATGCGTTGCAGGAAAGGATCGTTTTTGTTCCGCAAAAGATGTGACCAACAGACCTCGAGACGACGAGATTGCTGGTGCTCAGTCAACTCATGCGGGATCCACTTGTCAAGTTTTTTTACCTTCCCAATTTTCTTCAAATGACGTGCTACAGTTCCGAAGTCAACTCCCAGCTCTTCAGCAATTTCCCTTGTGGATGCTCTTGGGTTGGCTTCTATCTTCAATTCGTCGTCTTCAACTTCCGATAGCCGGCCGCGTCCTTCCTGATCTTCCGGGTTTGTCAAACCACCTACGCGTGGTGCGCTCATTTGTAGTGCCATGCGTTGTTGATATTCCTAGCTGCTTCCGCAGCATTACGGCCGAGTTTGTACTCGTGAAGCATGATGAGTAGGATTTCGCGTCTTGACAACATCTTCGTGGCCCAAAATCGTAGGAGAAATGGTGGCGGAGAAACGGGAAAAAATTGAAAAATGTGCTCCTAAACGATTTATTAAATTACTATATTTGCCTAGGTTTTCGATGACATTGCATCAAGTTAGAACATAGCAGCGCGTGCCGAAAACCCGCAGATAGTATTTTAATCGCCGCCGACATGGATATGTCGACTGAGGGACTGCGAAGTAAAGACACAGCTAGAGGCTAGACAGCATTGAGACTAGTAATTGAATACTGGCCACTATTACTTACCCCAATATTCCAAAATTAGCCCACTTTCTTACTGAGTTTTTCCTACGAGGGCAGGTTCAGCTCAAAATTTGTTCCCAGGGGTAGTTTGACCTCCCGAACACGAATCTCACATCCGCTTAGTCCTGAGCGGCTTGGCGTCCGCGCCACAGGCTCCGGCACCAAAATACCCTCAATTCACAAAGATCGACGAAAACTTGTTTACAGGTATTGTTTGGAATCTTGATTACATAAGAGCATGACATCTGCTCTTGGCTCCGGCGCTAATGGAGGACACTGCGATCGTCTGCGCTCTGTCAAGGCTAAGCCTGGCCTGAATGCACTCCTTCTCTCAGGCTCAGCCTTAGCAGCGTCAAAATGAAAACGAATGCCATGACGTGTGCACAAGCAACCCTATTGTGCAAGTTTTTTGATGCCGGTGAAAAAGCGTGTGGCGTAAAATTGGCGCCTAATAGCGTCAAATATCGCCAGGGCTGGAAATGAATGTCCTGTTCGTGATCATGATATCGAATAACCTGTAGGCGGAGTTCAAGCAGAATTTTTTTGAGTTTTTGGGGTAGTAGTAGTCGATTTGAACCAAAGGTTCCGCTCCGAAATATTTGTCTTTTGCCTTTCAGTTTCTCGGAAACGTTCACGAAACAGAGCATTCTCAACTACTGTGTGCATGTTATACAAAAATTACTCACAATTCTGGAGGAGCATTAGCAAGATAGCGAGCAACTTGTTCCATTGCCGGTCTTTTCACAGGATTTCCTCTCCAACAGGTTTTCATCACTCGATATATAACAATGGGAAGGGTGGCATCAGTTGGCGGACGAAATTTAGGGTCAGATATCTGCAGCAATACCAAATCGATGCTCAGCAAAGCTCGCTGCGGTTACTCAACAAAACGAAAAAAAATTCTGCGAAAAATCACTAGTGAGTGGGCAACCTCGCACCTTTTCTCTGACAGTTTTGTTATCGATACCTTTGTAAGGTACTTGGCCATTATTGAAGATCTCCCAAAGGAGTATACCGTAAGAGTAAACATCACATTTTGCCGTATACACTCGTGTTGAGATAACTTCTGGAGCTTGCCTGAATGGGGGCGTACCTTGAGAAAGAAACAACTTTTTTTTTACAAGTGTCAACGAGGACTTGGCACTTGACATATTAGAAGTTCTGTATAGGTACCATTTGATTGGGAGTTTTTCAGTGCTGGGAATTTCATAGAATTCTGCTTGCTTTGACATGCCAAAATCGCTGATTTTCACGACACCTTTCTTCACGTCGATGAGACAGTTCCGACAAGCAATGTCCCTAAATCAGAGCCAAAAAGGTTGGAAGGAGTAGTCAATTCTCACGATCAAGTGATGGAAAGTACGTCTTCAACCGTGAATCAGTAGCCCATAAATAACTCCCAGTAAAGGAAGCAAAAAAACTTTGGATACACCAACAGACCCCTCTCAGCAGTGGGCCCGCGCATTGGACGAGTTCATCATGAGGACAAGCCTAATCAGCAGGATTCTACGTGCAACCAATTCCCGGCAAGAGCACATGAAATCGCCCTACGACGCTCCAGGCAACGCTATGTACACACGCAATTCCGCTTGTAAGCCGTTGTCTTGCAGAGTGAAAGTAATCGTGGTTGCAATGGTTGCAATAATCACGCGTCTCTAGCTTCTTTATCTCGCCGTTTCGAGTGACGAAAGTGGTACATTCTTTGCGAATGCGGACAACGATGCCAAATGCACGGAGGCATTTCGCGGACCACTTGATCGCGGAACTGTCTTTGAGGTTGCCTAATAACGACTTACCTGTGCATACAACCTTTTGAATGTAAGTAGACGAGGCCAATTGCAACATCAACGGCATAGCCCACTCTTGCTTTTGTCGAAACCTTAACGTGCAGGTGGTTATGAATTCGCATTGCATGCTCAAAGAATTGTCTTTGAACTAGTCCGGGCACCCAAAGCTGGAAGGTGTGTGTAGCGCAGCAATGAACGGGTCAAAGCTGAGAGAAACCTGCACGACCAACGCACATCTCTCCATTTAGAGGTGGATGCCCATTTCAAAAGGAAAATCTGAGAAATAACCTCTTAGCCCCCTGGGTTACCTGCTTATCACGCTGAACATGTGAGTGCTGTAAGACTGTGAACAAAAGCCATTGAACTGAGATGGAAGTGGCT